CCGGAAACGGGCTGGATTCCAGGAAACCCAACATTCTTCTTCCCGGTTGAGCCACCCTCTTGCTTTTCCCCATCAAAGTACTCCTCTCGAGCCTCATAATAAGCTTTGGCAGCCACGGGGTCATAGTCATAGTCTGGCAGTGCTTGGATGCCAATTGACCCTGATAGCATTCTGAAATTGTGCACTTTGCCGTGATCAATGACTTTGACAGGAACGGTGACGAAACCACCTGGGATGTCTTGGGTTTCAACGCTGGGATACGATAATCCGTCAAGTGTACAACCCCACCCGCCATTTTGCGCTTTTCCCTCATCATTCCAGAAACAGAATGCTGTGATTCAGCCGGTCAAAGTGGTTGCACCCGACATATTATGCATATCGGCGATTGAGTTCCAGAAATTCTTGATGTCCGGGTTGGCTGGCTGCTCAAACGAGAGGATCATCTTTCGAACCACGGGCCGCAATAATTCAGCGAAACGAGTGGGTTCTTCACCCATCTTCTCCAACTTATCAAGGCGAGATAGGATATCCTCATAGTCAGTGGCTTCTCCGAGAAGCGTGACAGACGGGAGCCCACACGTCAACATACATGTGTACGAGAAGTATTGTTGCATTGCGCCCATCAAAAGCACAGAACCAACAGCTCGATCAGCATCGATGGTGGTAGAGAAAGAAGGCAGAACCCAATCACGTAGTGTAGGTTCCTTAACGTTCTTTGCCATTTCCATTGTTATGTTTTGAACAAATGCTCCATAGTCGGCCGTGTGTAAGAACCCGTCTTGTCTGATGACAAGTTCCTTTTTGCCTTTGTGACTAACAAAGAGACGGCTGAGTTTCGCGGCGTTTGCGTTGATGTAAGAACTGAGTTGGGTAATAATAGCGAACCAAACATCCTCAGGGCGAATCGTCAAATGATGATGGTTGCTATATGCATTAAAGGCTGCCCAGACCAGGCCGTTCTTGGAGCCGGATACAAAGTTGTCTTGAATCGTTCCATCAACAGAAAATACGCTCTGAATGACCTACTTGCAGCGTGTGAACTCTTTGTTATTGGTCGCTTTGAGAATGTCCTCGACGCTGCTGGCTTTGTCTTGACCCCATGGCCTAGCTGGGTGGTCAACAACAGATACGGTGACGGGCATGACGAAGTTGGGGTAGGTTTTGTCAATTGATGAGGTGAGTGATGCAGAAGTGGAAGTCAAGATGTTATACAATTCTGAAGACACCGGCGACCACAAGCAACTTATAGAATTAATCTTGATCACCTGGAATCGGTCAATACCTAGATAGGACACCACCAGGATCGCCACACGTAAGCATAAGCACCATTCTGACGCGGCTCAATTTCAAGCTCTGTTGATTTGAGGCGCCTGTTCATGAAAAGACTGTTGCCTGATTATGAGATAGCTGTTGCCTACGAGATCTAGATTGACATAGAATAAATTACTTGTTTCCAAGTTTATAGTTATGAATTAAATCCAGGTTTTCCCTTCATATGAGGACTAAATGACGCAAGGACTAGACACTGTATTTTAGCCAGATTGGAGGTTTGCCGTTGACTTTGTTAAAGGAATAGAGTCTTACACAGGTTGTAAACTAGAAGTTTAATGCATCGTGGCAATCGACCAGAAATGATATATCTGACATATCAGTTCTCATACCAAAGCATCTTGGCATCCATAGGCAGACATGGATTATGCCGTAGCTTTCCTGAACATGATAGAACCACCATTCCAGTTCCCCAATTCTCCCACATTAGCCCTCTCGACCGTCACAAATCCGTGTCGTTCATAAAATGTATCAATACCCTCAAGACCAATTAACCAAGCAGCTACATCAGCCTTGTCAACCCTTTCCAACCCATGGTTCAAGAGCATGCTTCCCAAGCCATTACCCTGGAGTGATGGTTCAACAGCCAGCGTGGAGAGGTACCAGGCATCGCGGCGCCGTGAGGTTGTTCGCAACTTGGGTTCAATATCCGTAAAGACACGTGCAAAGGTTTCAGCTGCATGTTGATCGAGATTGGGGATGGGGAAGAGTTTGTTGCGAAGCCAGTACCAAGCGTGAATAATGGGCGAGGCCCAGGCAGCTAAAACGATCGTCAGTGGTATTACATGGTGGTAGCGAATATTATTCATACAAAGAGATATCCAGCGTTCGTAGAATGACAGCTGAGAGTCGGGTCGCTTCCACCAAGTGAGGCCCACAAGCTTATCGTCAGTCGTCGATGTAAGAACGTGCAGGTCGTAGTTAGGAGTCCAATAGCGCGAATAGAAGAGACGCGTGACTTGGGCTAGCAGCAATTCTGGATGTGTTTGTCGACCTGGGAATAGGATATCCATGAGTTGGTCTTTAGCAAAGGCAGCATTCCAGACCTTGACGACCTCACTCACGTCTGAGTAAAGGCCAGGCCGTACGCGGTATGTGCATATCGCCGATTTTTTGTCCATCCCCATTGTTCTTATCACTCAAGGATTATCGAGGTATCGTTTACTCGAAAACTTGCGGTTGGTGCGTTATTAACGAAGGATTTGGCGGGGATGCTATGATGTGACATAATTGCAAATTCCCCGCCCAGTTATGCCAGTCTGGATGCTAAAATAAAGCAGACCAACTGTCATAACTAATCTGGAGAGAAAAGACCGAACTATTCTGTCTCTCATGCTCCACACCGCCGATATTCTTACTCCGCCCGATACGCCCGCAACGCGATGTTTCAGCTGCTTAATAGATGCATTTAGACTCTCTGAAGTGAGTAACAATGATCTGTACCTTCTAGAGCAGTCCTGTAACTGCATATATGCAATTTGACAGCTTTTGTTAAGAGCATATAGTTTGTGACTCTTGATGCGACCAGGTAATGGCGGATGAACTCAGTATTTCTTGCCGACGAAATGTCAGTTTGTGCTAATGAAGATGACGACTAGGAATGTTGGGAGGAATGCCTTCAGACAGTCTTGGACAATGCTTCTAAGTTGTAGGCTACGTTAGTGCTTATGACTTGGTCCCGCATCGGCATCAGTGGCGTTCATTTCCCGCTGAGTAATAGCCCGTAAAGCAGAAGAGCGCAATCTTGACAATGTCCGAGATGCGATGGCTTGGACATTTTCCGTAAACCGAGTGATGAAAGTATGTAATCCTTTAATAATCACGATTATCCATACTAGGTGATGAAGAATAAAAGGTTCCTGGGATCACGGCAATTCTTTCATGCAACAAATACGAGAAAACAACCCAATTTACCAAATACTATTATCTATAAATCGTTACTATGACAAGTTCAAAGAACATATGTCTTTGTGTTACTTGTGGTACGCAATACGATATCTCCTTCGTGGAACGCCCATCTACCTGCCGCATGTGTAATGTATGTTAGCCCTTCGGTAGGCGAATCTGGAACGACTAACATGTTACAGGAACCTCGGCAGTTCGTACCACCTTCTGGGCAGTCCTGGACCACTCTTGAGGAACTGCAGACCACCCACAAGAATGAGTTCAAACAAGACGAGAATGACAAGAGAATCTGGTCCATCTTTTCTACTCCCCAGGTGGCCATCGGGCAGCGGGCAGTCTTTATTCAGACCGAGTTTGGCAACGTCCTTTGGGACTGCATCAGTTTGCTGGATCAGGAGACCATTGATTTCCTCAAGTCTCGTGGCGGTCTCGCTGCCATTGCTATTTCTCATCCCCACTTTTACAGCACTCACTTGGAATGGGCACGAGAATTCGATTGTCCTGTGTATCTTGCTTACGATGACCAAGAGTGGTTGAACAGAAAAGATACTGAGCATCGAAGAATCTTCTTCCGAGGTGAGACCCAAGAAATTCTCCCTGGGGTGACCATGATCAAGCTTGGAGGCCACTTCCCGGGAAGCTCAGTCCTCCATTGGAACAACAATATTGTGGGTACATGTAAACTCCAAGTGGCACTTAATTGGTTGTGATGCTAATATCCATCGGTTCAGTTCGCCGGTGATACTATCGGCATATCCCTGGTAAGTGTATCTTAAACATGTATCCCAGAGGTTGGTACTAATAATATTGACAGTCTGGGCTCAGCCGCTCGCATCATACCAAAGACCACCAAACATTCTTTTTCCACTACGCATTTCCGAACTTTATCCCTCTTGGGCCGACTGCTATGCACCTCATGTGGAAGAGACTTCGCTCTTGGGATTTCACAGCGGTGTACTCATTGTTCTTCAGGACAACCGTCCGTGAACCTAATGTCAAAGACTTGATCCTTGAGAGTATGCAGCGTCAAGCAAAGCATCAAGAGAACACCGGACACCCATTGATGGAAGAACATCCAAGTGCATAACTCGTTGGTTCGGCAGACACTTTTACGAGTCAGATGGTCAAGGGTTTAGAAATGTTTGGCTTGGATTTGATGCTTAAGTAGCAATAACGCTCAAACAAAACAACCTGCATGTGATAGTTTTACTTTCCTATCTATCTATTGATACTTACACAACATTTGCAACATCTTCCCCTCTAAGAGTTTTGCTTCTTTAGAACACGCTATTCAAGAGATACCACCCTTTGCGATCAGGCCGATGAAGCTTTAATCAGCGCTGATCAGAATGTAATTTGTCGCAAGAAATTAACCACTAGCTCAAGATTAAGATTTAAAATGAATAGATTGCCAATACCGAGTCAAGATGGATCGGCTTCGTGTGTTTGCCCGTAAAGCAATGCCGTGGTGTATAGGCAAGTGTAGATCCGCTCGTTGCTCCCCACGGACAGCCCAAGTGTTCCGAAATAAAAACTTGCAGCTACGAAGCATGACAAAGGTGTGGATAGCCAAGCATACGACCTCTGAATAATTGTTTAGGAATCAACAACCCCCTCCCTAATAGGTGAGTCAGGGAGCGGGCTGACCACTGCGCCAAAGGGGGTTGCGAGTTATCGATACCGTCCGTCACAAGTTTGGGAATCATAGAGCTATGGCTGACCCCTGAGTTTAGCTTGTTAGCATGTTATAAAGGCAAAAAGAGAGATCCCCCTTCCAGGATTCGAACCCGGGTCCTCTCCCCGCCAACGCAGTCGGAACTGTCTGGTTTCTACCGCCCGAGGGCAGCAGTTTAAGGGAGCGCGCTGACCACTGCGCCAAAGGGGGTCAGTCATGTTTCATGTTACCGGCTGTCGGATTCCTAGGCATCATAAGGCTTTGTCAGGTCCCCTATCTTAGCCTGCGAACACATCAAAGGGGCAAAAAGGAAGAATAACCCCTCTTCCAGGATTCGAACCTGGGTCTCTCCCACTCACGTTGAACGCGGCTATAAATAGGAAACTGTCTCTCTAAGGAGCCAGGACGGAGTGTGCTACCACTGCACCAAAGAGGGCTGTTTTTGTGTTGCCGGATCTTAGATCAGTCGGCACTATAGCCTTGTGGCTGACTAGGAAATGCAGCATTGAAATAGGTTGAAAGGGCCAAAAAAGGGGACCCCTCTTCCAGGACTGGAACCTGGATCAAGACCTCCGACTCACATCCGCATCCCTTTCGGGTCGGGTTGGTAGGAGCGCGCTGCCACTGTGCCAAAGGGGGTTGGTATTTGTTGTTGCTGGATGTCACATCTCTCGGCATCATAGACCTATGGCCGGTCATTGAACCTCGCTAAGCTGCCTGACACCCGACTAATGCACTGCTACAGCCTTTCTCAGTTTCTTCATTGGCATGATGGACGAAAGATTCATTCGTTGTGGGACGAGGAAGGGAGCACAGCTCGCCGACACACGTGTCTTTTATTCAATATGGAATGCTGATGGCGCGACCATTGTTGTTTACGAGATCTGTCACAGTCAATTACTATAGCAGCCCGCAGTTCACATCAAGAGAAATCATTCTGAATCATGTTTATAAAACCTCGGAGTTATGGCAGTCGTCTCGAAGCTAGAAGCGCCGAGGCAGGAGAGAAGAAGTCTTGTGCCGATGAACATTACACACAAACTGGCGGACTGAACATAAAGAACGGAAAGCGCAAAAGAAAGCTGCTACACCCGGCGCGTAAAGAGACGCGTTTCGCTTTGTTTACTCACGCGTTTGCGGTCGGTAGACCGCTGAAATTCCGACTCGGCCGTTGGCCAGCTGGCGGACAGTGATATGACAGTGTCAGAGCCTTAACTGCAATTCGGGATGGAACCCTCCACAACAGAGCATTAAGGTCCTACTCTTTAGCACCTAGCATGAAATAAAACTCTTCTTTTTGCCTCCCCTAGACTAGGGTTATCCAATCCCATCCGGTAGACTCGTTGATCATCTCTCCATCCATCATCTTGTAGACGTAAGCTTGCCCGATGTATTGGAAAGCGACAATGCCCTCATCTCTCTGAACTTGCCTAACAATAAATGGCATGTTACCCCCTTTGAATATACAGATACTGTCCCCGGCTACCATATCCGGGTGTCCGACTCCGATGATGCCCTTTTCCGTCACAAATCCTCGGCATCCACGGGAGCTAAGGTGAAACCCTTTCCCATCCCTTGCCAGAGCTTCAGTGAATAGCGCTTGTGGGTCTTCGTCACTCTTAATTCGACTTCGCCTGCCGAAAGATTGATGGATATCAGTCGTTATGCAGTGCCACGCCGCCTCGGAGTACGTTCCACCCTGTGGATAGACCCTGTTGGGATTACGTTGCCAGAAGGTCACCGTCTCTGTCATATCAGAGCCAGTTTCAAGTATTGTCCCTACTTCGGCAGCTCTATCGATGATGAACCCTTCCAAGTCTAAAGCATCGTTCGACAATGAGTCTCTAGTCTCGGCCTTTGTCTGGCCGGCTGCCCTGAACATGGCATAAGAGTAAATCCACTCTATCTCCTGGGCGAGGTCTGCCTGATCGACAGAGGCGGCCCAGTCAGGAACCCATGTTGGCAAACTAGGCGACCGGCTCTTTTCAGAGACTCTAAGCAGGATGTCCAATGTCCCAAGCTTCTCGATAAGAGCACGACTTATATGCTGAAATGCTTCCTCAACAGGCAAGGCATAGTCAGCTGAGGCCCCTCCACCAATGAGACCTAGATAAGCATATATCTTATCTCTCGGATCAGATGCTCCCCTGGTTCTTAATATGTTGACAACTTCAGTTGCTGTCACCAGTTTGTTGTGATTCCGCCGGGTCTCCCTGAGCCCGTTGAATGTTAGCCAAAAGTCGAGAAGGAGTCGATGGCCTACATGACAACAACCGGAATAATCGTGATGAAATGAATTGTCATATGCCTCTACAAATCTCTCGAACGATAGTTCGGCACTTCCGCATATCATGATAGCGTCTTTGGGAAGAATGGCTTCCTGTACAGTCCAAGCTCGATTCCACCACGGAAGTAGAACTAGATCGGCCAGAGCTTCAAAGTATTCCGCGGTTAGACTCTCATTTCCGCCACCATCAACGGGATTGTAGTGCTTATCATCAGCCAAGTACTTGACTAGGTCGAAAGCAAGTTTTGCTGATTCCCCTGGAATGGCATTTGGCCCTGCATCCTTATCTCCAGAAAAGTCCCCTATCCAAAGTAGCGCTCTTTTTGTCCAGGAGTAGATCTTGCTCATGAGATTGACCTGGTGCGACTTTTCGATATCATCGGTCTGATTGATACACAGAGCATCGACCCAAATACGCCGTCCCTCTTTGGCTAGCCTCAACCTCCTTAGGGCATTGAAGAGGTTGACAGTGACATCCTTTGCCATACCATCCACCTCGATGACGCGGCAGACTTGAGGGTCTCCCCAATTGTACGATAGAGCCTCATAGTCTGATTTTTCAGTAAGCGGTGTCGTATGCAAGGTACAGCGGATGGGATCACCCTCACTGCCGGGAAGTACTTGTAAAATTCTGAATTCTTCGAGTTGCGAGTCAAGCGGTTGATAAAGCAGGTGCTTCGACCCGGCATCTGAAGTCCCGGGTTGAGCCTGAGCATCTCGATCGGCAGTTGACATCTTACTGCAAGGCAACCTTGGTGCTGTCTGAGTGTCTGGTTGATAAGATTGTTTCTGCTAAGGCTTATGACACTGTCTGCGTATGAGCGGGGTAGCAGCGTTGGTGCGGCTGTGTTTGTCATGCTTATGCCTCTATCTGGCAAGTTGACAGGGAAGGTAAGATAATCCGAGGCGAAGCTGTGAATATTATGCAAACCCGCACTTTCTCTTCTCATACTATTATGTCTTGATAATCCTGTTTGCGATCTCTAGTATTCCGTCGAAACAGCCCTCTCCCATACCTTCTCGACAAAACCACCTCTACCATGACTGGTCGGCCATACAACTTCAGCTAGAGATTCAAGCGCTTGTGGCCAACATAAAATCGCCATCTCTCGACTCTGTCGTCTGACAGCCGTTTGGAAAAACTCAGTACTAGGGTGTATTGTACTGTTCGCTTCGTCCTTGGACGATGTATGGCAGCCAACTAGACCCATCAACAGGAGCCACAGGAGGAACGGATTCCCAGGCGCTCGAGTCTCGGAAAGGAATACGACCATGTCCTGATGGAACAGAGTGATAGTGTATTTATGCATACGCTCATCAAACGGCTCGGTGACAGCAAGAATAGTTTGCAGGTATACGAGAGACGCAGTAACTAGCGCCCCCCACGGAGTCTCGTATGAGCTTTGCGGCGGACTGGAGCTTCCAGTTCCTTCTTTCTTTACCGATATGGATTCAAAGTGAGCAAGTACCCATTCTTCCAGTAGCTCTGAGCCGGGCCCCCGTCTCCAGAATCTTTCGAACCCTTCGTTTGCAGATATTATACTCCGCTCCGATGTCACATCCTCAATTTCGGATGTGAACTGGCGAAGGAACTTGACCAGGCTGCGGCCGTCGGCGTTATTTAGTGTTGCCCGGTGGGGCAGTGGCGATAGAAAGAATGGGAAAAGGCGAAGTACTCCAAGCTTCAACGTCCATGACTCTACTGCTCCGGCTTTATGCCATGTGTATATCATCTGAACAAGCTCTTTGGCAGTGTAGACTGGTTTGCTACTCCCGAAACGACATATACCCCTGAGAAGGTTATTGAGACCGTAGATATATGCATATGCCCTGGAGGAGATCAGTATAGTGGCTGAGTGGGGTGGATAATTCACTTACATGCCCAAGTAGCGATAGGATAACTCCTGATCAGTTGAACGAGGCGCCAATTCTTCATAATCCCTGTTCTTGTCCGCATTCTCGATGATTGCTAAAATACCACCGACGTGAGTCTGGGCTGCCAGCATCTCCCCGTTGCAGATCTGGCATGGTAAATCAGTCGGGAAATACACGGACTTGGGAGACCGTCTTACCTCTGTGAAGACCAAGGTGGCCATTAGCCGGATGATGAGTGTATCGCATTTGTGGCTGTCGGCGGCAATCCATGTCTTGATGTATGACATAACTTGCACCCTGTGATGTAGAAAGGTGGTTTCAAAGGGTTCTAGGTTTCCATACTCGTACCAGAAGTGCATACCGGCAAATAGCATGGTACTGCGTAATGCAAAAGAGTCGTCTGTCAAGTTCATCCTGATTTTCGGATTATTATCAGTACTTTTGGCAAGTACGCTAACGAGATGCAGCAACTAACCAACTGATGACAGGCGTTCTCGGAGTATTTTTACGTTCTTGCGAACACTTGAATACTGTTCATGTCAGAGCGGAGGACCTTTTCAAAATACTTAGAAATATTACTCACAATACTGAAAGAGCTCGTGAGATCTCAAAGGCATCTCACAGGCCACCCTGTTATATCCTCTATCATGATTCAAATACGGTAATTGAGCAGGTATTCTTGTGGTCTGGACGGATGCTATCTGTTGTGGCAGTCTTTCAACTTGCCAAGAAGGTGTTTTCTCCCAAGGTTTAGCACCTTTCTGTTGCGCTCGACGTTCGCGTAGGGGAATCTTCATTGGACCATAGACGCAAACCTTGCCAGCTTTGACACAATTGTTACTAGGAGGGTTTTAGTATATACGCTACCAATACGGGTAAAGCAGGGGATATATACCATTCCGGGCGCTTTTCATCGCAAGCTTTCTTACGCGTTCGACAGGTTGAACAGCCTGTCTTACTCCGCGTGTAAGTTTGTCGCACGCTGTTGCTATCGTTGGTCATTTTGTCACATGTATTTTCATCTTTGGGCATCTTGAAATGAGTTGAATATTAACATACTTAATTGAAAGGGAAAAGGAGACAAAATGTCCGACCGCCGGATATTGGATCGAATAAGTGAGCACTAAAACAAGGCTGTCTAACTGCTGAGTCATGGACGAGGTCCATATCCTACGATACAACCAATGAAATGGATGAATGCCATTCCTGCGAGGCCAATGTGACATTATTCGAGGCTGTAAACTTTAGCGAAAAGCAAATAGACTGGAGACGGGTAATTTCAATACGAGCTTACACTCCATATTTCCATCCATAGGGCTGTCTAACACTAGGGACAATATAGGCGATAATATGACTCTGTAGCGGGGAACGATGCCAATCCTTCCATGATCTTCAAACAGTGGAGGGTTTAACCTTGTAAATGGCATTGTCCACTGCGACAGACCCATCCTCATCAACAACCCATCGAAGCTCGCCC